CTGAAAAAATATTATATAATGTTAAACAATCAAAGAAACTCGTAAATATTCAAAATTTAAGATGGCCGATCCAATATGGCGTCGATTTTTTTAAAATTCACCCAATTCGCCTGAAACTTGTTACTCGGGGGTTTTTGGGGTTGCTAAATACGAATTTCATCTCAGTTTTCAAAAATTCAAAATGGCGTATCCAATATGGCTGACCAATTTTTAAAAAAATTATTGGATTTACCTGAAACGTTATACTCGGGGGGTTTTCGAGGTCGCTGAGTACAAATTTCACCTTAGTTTTCAAAAATTCAAAATCTGAAAAAATTTTTAATAATTCGTTAGCCATATTGAATCCGCCATTTTGAATTTTTTAAAACTAAGGTGAACTTCGTATTCAGCGACCCCAAGAACCCCCGAGTAACAAGTTTCAAGTAAATCTGTTACGTATTTAAAAAATTCGACAGCCATATTGGATCCGCCATTTTGAAGAAACTTGACGTGATGGCGCAAAACTGAGTTCGGATTCGAATTAAGCGACCCAAAAAACATATAAAAAACATGGTCCGGTCATTATAATAATAAAATTTTCCAGATAGCACTTAAGCTTGTAATAAGCTATAAGTAGCGAACCATTGTCAATGGCCGAAATAGTTTAAAACTAAAAAAATTTTTATATTTTAACCATTTTCAAAATCCAACAAACCATATGGCCAAAGGCAAAAATAGTTTAGTACCAAAGAATATGGATATAGTCAAAACATATCGATTTTTAGGTTTTAAACTTTTTTTTATCGTTGGCCATGGATTCCTAGATTTTGATCATGGTCAAAAAATAAAAATTTTAATTTTTTTCATTGGCCATATATATATGGTTCGCTAGTTTTTGACCATGGTCAAAATATAGAAATTTTATGGGTTTGAAATAAAGATATTTTAACCATATTTAAAATATATAAATTTTCAGATTTTTAAATATTTTTGTTGTTCGTCATGGTTTCCAAAATTGTCCCCATAGCCAAAATATCGAAATTTTCAGATTTATAAACTAATTTTCCTGTTTACCATGATTGCGGCTAAATTTTCGAACGTGGTCAAAATATAAATATTTTGAAGGGTTTAAAATATTTTTTTCGTTGTAAATGTTTCACTATATTTTAACCATATAGTCAAAATATAATAATTTTAAGGTTTTAAATTATTTTAGCCTATGACATTTTTTCTTATCAGAACAATCAAATTAAAAAAATTTGACAGTTCGGTTGTCAAAATTTTAAATAACTATGATAATCTCGAGTCTTTTTCTTCGATCGATCCCTTGAATGAATCACTCTAAGAAGGAGATTCCTTTGCTCGATATGCAACTTGAACCAAATTTAAAAGGTTGTTTTCTTTATTTTAAAAAATAAACAAAATTTCTAAGGAAGGTATAAGCTGAAACAGCAGATCTCCATAAGTATTCGAATTTCGATGTGTGTCTTTAGTGAGCTTCCAGACAGTCTATAAGGAAGAAATTAGAAAACATCATTACGGATGAGATTAAAATCTCACATTGCAATATTTTTATAAAATAAAAGTCTTACATTAATTTTAAACATATGGTACAAAAATTATTATTATTATTAATATAAAAATACGTTAAATTTAACTGATGGATTAATAAATTTTCATAAGTACTGGCTACTTGCTTTAGGCAAAAAGCTATTTAATCAACAAAAAAAATTTAACTGATCCTTCATATGCCGATACAACATTTAACAAAACATTAATAAAAAAAATTAAAAAAAAAAAAAAATTAATAATATTTATGGAAAAGAATGAAAAACACTTTTATTGTGATTATTGAATAAAAAGGAAGGGAATAAAATATACAATATTCTATGATATAATAATCTGTTTATATATTTCCGCGTTATGTATTTACAGGCGCAAATAATAATTATAATATAATAATGCTTCCTTTTTTTATATATTTATATATGTATAATTTCATTTTTAGTCAATTTTGCATAACTATGTATAATATTTATATATGTTCATATTTATAAAGGAGATTATACAAGAATTTTTCTAATTGTCTATCTACAATTGAAGAGGATGACGCAAATCGTTTAGATTTATTTATAATATGTATATAATTTTAACATCACGTTTTAACGATTGCAACTTTGATGCGCGAATAAATGTTTTACTCGCATTATATTCACAGAGATTTATTTGTGTGTATAAAGTATTCAAAACTGCAAGAAGTCGAATTAGTCCAAGTGTTAAATCTAATTATATCCTAATATGAGGAGCACAATTGATTCGATTTATTTATGCATATCGCAATAGTGCACACTGCGTGAAAAACACAATCTCAACTACACGAAGTATAAATTTACTTTTGAAACCCCTTTCATAACTCCTTCATAATTATTTACGTAAACCCTTTAAGCCTTATGTGCGTTTTTTTGCGTTTTTGCCTTTTTTGCGCGTTTTTCGTCATGCATACAATTTTCACTTTTTCGTAAAATGGAACAAATAGTTTTCTTTCTATTATTTATTTTTAACAGAACGTATCCTTTTTATTATTCATTTTTTCGTTTTTATACACGTTTGACGGACCGTTGAAACATATTATAATAATTGTAGTGGAAAATAATAATTTTCTTAAAATTTTTATTGAGTAATCAATCAACACCTCCTTGGCCTAAATAAAATTTGACGAAAGCACCCTACTATTATATGTAGAAACGTATATTTTTTCGTAATGTAATTATTTAGGGGAATATCAAATTTTTTGTCTAAATATACATACTAGAAAATATTTGTTTTGTTTTCCCTTTTTGTCTGGTCATACTATAAACAAGGCGCTTGATATTATTATTTAATAAGTAGTGTCGTTTGTGGTTTAATTTTTTTAATCTTTTTCAATATAATTTTTGAAACGTATTTTTGTAATTTTTTTTAAATTAATTTTTTAATACTAGTGATTGCAATACATTTCACCACTCAACAATGAATTAATAAATCAGAAATATATTCCAGACTTCGCACTCGATAATTAATTTTATAAAAGTAGCTTTCAAACTAAAAAAAAAGTTGTAAAACAGTAGCTATCGAAACATTAAACTTGACGACCAAACAAACTCAAAAATATTTTCTTCTTTCTTCACCTGCTAATAAATTTAATTCCTGCAACGAAATTTTATTATTCATGAAAGAATTTAAATATTTATAGAAATAATATAATTATTGCCAAGAATTTTATAAAAATTTTTAAATAATTCATTTCTTTCGACGAATTTTATACAAATTCTAATTTAAATAATTGAATTTCTCAGAAATTTTTATTATTTATGAAAATAATTGAATTCTTACAAAGATTATTACAAAACAATTTTTAAATAATTGAATTCTGCTTGGAACTTTTATAAAGATAGTAGATATTGAAAATCATTAAATTGCAAAAAGTTTTCAAAAGTAATTAAATTTTACAAAGAATTATATTAACATTTTTGACAATAATTGAATTCCTAAAAAGCATTTTATTATTTATGAATATAATTGAATTCTTGCCAACGATTTTATTAGAAATTTTTTAAAATAATTGAATTTCAAAGAAGAAATTTATTACATTTAAAAATAATTGAGATTCTGCAAAAAATTCTAATATTTTTGTAAATTAATTAATTATATTAAAAATAAACAAACCTACGATGAATTTTATTATTTATAAAAATAATTGAATAGTTACTAAGAATTTTATTAAAATTTTCAAAAATAATTGAATTCCTATGAAGAATTTTATTATTTAAGAAAATAATTGAATAATTCCGAAACATTTTATTTAAATGTTTAAAAAGAATTGAGTTTCTGTGAAAAATTTTGTTATCTTTGAAAATAATTGAATTTTTGAGAAGAAATTCATTACTTTTAAAAATAATTGAATTATTGTGATAAATAGTGTTATTTATGAAAATAATTGAATTTTGCAAAAAATTTTATTAAAATGCTTCTCTAAATAATTGAATTTTCGGGAATAATTTCATTATTTATCTTTAATAATTGAATTCTTTCGAAGAATTATTTATGTAAATAATTGAATTCTTGGGAAGAATTTTATTAAAATCTAAAAGAATAATTGAATTATTTCAAAAAAATTTAATTAAAATTAAATTAATTAAAATTTAATTAAAACAATTGATTTCTTTCGAACAATTTTTTAAAAATATTTCAATATAATTGAATTCTTTTAAAAAATTCTAATATTGTTGTAAATAATTGAATTCTTTTAAAGTATTTTAAAAATATTTTTTTAAATAATTGTTTTTTCGAGGAATTGAAATCCAATTTTTAATATTATTTTCATTTTTAGAGCAATTCCTTTAAAATTGTATTCAAAATAATTGAAAACCTACGATGAATTTTATTATTTATAAAAATAATTGAATAGTTGCTAAGAATTTTATTAAAATTTTCAAAAATAATTGAATTTTTTTATTAATTAATTTAAAAATGTATTAAAAAATAATTGAAATTCTTCGACGAGTTTTATTATTTATGAAAATAATTGAATTTTCGCTTAGAATTTTATCAAAAATTTTTTTAAAAAATTCAATTTCCATGAAAAATGTTATTATTAGTGAAAGTAATTGAATTATTGTCAAGAATATTGTATAAAAATTTGGTTAAATAATTGATTTTTTTAATTTATTCTAAATTAATTGAATTCCTGTGGAAATTTTATTATTTATGAAAATAATTGAATTTTGAATGAATTTTATGATTTTTTTTAAATAATTGAATTTTTTTGACAAATTTCATGAAAATTCTTGATATTTATTTATTTAGTTTTAGTATATAGACGATATTGAAAATAATTGTATTTCGTTTATTTTTTGAAGATAATTGAATTTCGAATATTTTTTGAAAATAATTGAATCGTTTTAAAGAATTTGATTGTAGTTTTTGAGAATAGTTTTTTGATTTCTAGTAGTGGAAATTCTCAAAAAACAGAAATAGTAGCTTTTGGTGGCTGAAATCTAAAAAAAAGTATCCAAATAGTAACATAATGTAAAAAAGTAGTAAATAGTATGTTTTAGTAGATGAGTGTGAAGTCTGTATATTCTAATAATTTTTGTATCAAAATTTTCCGTCTTCTTCAATGTCCACACTTTTCGGAAAGTTCGAATCAATTTATTTCTCAAATGTCCGTTGTATTGCATTTATCCTCTGTAGGATGTTTATTAAAAATTGCCTAATATAGAATATCAATTTTTAAACTTTGTTATGTATTTCTTTTGATTTATACCTTTTTTCAAACTTTCTGAAAATGTTATGCTAATCTAGGTAATAACCTACTGGATAGCATAACATTTTAGCCTTATGCAATTTTCGTGCTTAATATGAAGAACATTGAGATATTAAATAAAACAAAAAGAAACTCTAAAAGAAAATAGATTTTTAACATTTGTATTTAATACACTCGTCTTTAACAATCGTTCAATTTAGAGATTAGAAAAAAATTTCCGTTAAATTTTTAAGTATAACCTTTTTAAAAGATTTCAAGATATTTCCGCAGTATTAGTCTAAGACTCTAAGGACTAATTATTCGCAAAAGATTCACAAAAATGACAAAAATAAAATCAAACTTCGGCATTAGTCATCAGTCATATTTTTAAAGATTACGTTTGTCATGTATTACAATTTATCAAAAAACGTAACATTATTTCCTAAAAGAAATAATTCCTTTGACACGTTGATATCAACATGATCGATTGACGATTTACATCCTCTCTAAGTTCTCTATTTATTCTATGTACATAACGCGACATTAATGTCCAAGTTAACGGGGTTTAATGCTCTGTTTGAACCGCGAAAACAAGACAAACAACGCCGCTTTAAATATTATGCTATCTTGGGTAATGCGATTTATTTTGTTCACTATGTACAGCCGCACAGTCCCCAATATTGCAAGTTCACAGCACTTCGAAGCATTTCTTGAAATTGAAACCTTCGTCCTCAACAGAGTCAATCTCACTTCTCGCGTCAGCGATCTGGTTGGATCTTTCGTATCACGCTGGCGAGAACGGCCTGTGAATTTGAGGAGGTTTCGGATTGATCGGTGGAGTCGCAACCCTGATCAGTCCCTGACCCTTGGGCGTGTGCTGATTCGAAGGTGGACTACCACGCGAGGACGGTGTATGAGGACTTGGAACTGCAACCTTTAGCGGTCCCGTTACCGATAAATTCGTTGCTACTAGAGGAGGACTGTGTGCTTCCGACAAACTATCAGATAGCCGCGAAATTCCACCGTCCGATAAACGTGAAGTTTCCGATAACCTCGATACACTTTCTGGTAGTTGATGGTGGGGATGATGAAGCAAAGTGTCGTGATGGTGTAATCTCGGTGGAGGTAGACCGAGGGTATCTGGTAATCTGAAATTTTAGACGTTAGGTTATTGTTACTATGGGGAATTTAAGAAACTGGGAGAAACTGGAAAAATATAATAATACATTCTGACTGACTGTACATTTCCTATTCTACAAAGTAAAATTCGCCAATAATAATTATTACCTATAGACGGATTATACAAAAAGTAACTGATTACAAGTTATTCAACTCTAAAGAAATTGAATATTCAACTGACCGACACTTCATGGACCGACTCTGCAAACACCGACTTTATAACAATATAATTTTTCAAAAAATTGAATCTTCATGGACCGACTCTACAAAGACCGACTATACAACAATATAATTTTTTAATATTTTGAATCTTAATGGACCAACTCTTCACCAATATAATTATTCAAAAAATTAAATCTTCATGGACCGACTCTACAAAGACCGACTCTACATTTTGAATATTTAAATTTTACCATCATATTTGGAATCGGCGACCTCAAAAACGTAAAAGTACCAAGTCTTATTGAAAACGAAGCATTTTTAAAAAATTTTGTCCGCCATATTGGGTCAGCCATTTTAAATTTTTAAATTTTACCATCATATTTGGATTCAGTGACCTCGAAAACATTAAAATATCACAATTTGGAAAAATTATAAGTTTTTTTTTAATTTTGAAAATTTCATCCGCCATTTTGAATTCGCCATTTTCAATTTTAAAACAGCCACTTTATTTTTGTATTCAGTGATCCTAAATGATTACAAAAATTTTTTATTAAGTTTTATCATGATTTACAGGTTTTTATACTCTAATTCGTCATTTTTTCATAAAAAATGCTATTTTCCCTCAACTCCCAGGAGCTCAAAAAATTAAATCAAGGATTTTCTATAATTTTCCTCTATTCTACATTTATTTAGCTTTATTTTGGTCCAAGGTTCATTCATTTTGGTCAATTCCTTCAAGAGAAATTAGGTTATGAACGCGAAAATGCAAAAATAACACAATGTAAGTCAGTCTTTGAAGAGTCGGTCCATGAAGATTTACAATATTAAAAAATTATATTGTTGTATATAGTCGGTCATTGTACAGACGGTCCATGAAGATTCAATTTTTTGAAAAATTATATTGTTGTAGAGTCTGTCTTTGTAGAGTCGGTCCATGAAGATTTAAAATTTTGAATTATTATATTGTTGTATAGTCGGTCTTTGTAGAGTCGGTCCATAAAGATTTAAAATTTTGAAAAATTATATTGTTGTAGAGTCGGTCTTTGTAGAGTCGGTCCATGAAGATTTACAATATTAAAAAATTATATTGTTGTATATAGTCGGTCATTGTACAGACGGTCCATGAAGATTCAATTTTTTGAAAAATTATATTGTTGTAGAGTCTGTCTTTGTAGAGTCGGTCCATGAAGATTTAAAATTTTGAATTATTATATTGTTGTATAGTCGGTCTTTGTAGAGTCGGTCCATAAAGATTTAAAATTTTGAAAAATTATATTGTTGTAGAGTCGGTCCATGAAGATTTACAATATTAAAAAATTATATTGTTGTATATAGTCGGTCATTGTACAGACGGTCCATGAAGATTCAATTTTTTGAAAAATTATATTGTTGTAGAGTCTGTCTTTGTAGAGTCGGTCCATGAAGATTTAAAATTTTGAATTATTATATTGTTGTATAGTCGGTCTTTGTAGAGTCGGTCCATAAAGATTTAAAATTTTGAAAAATTATATTGTTGTAGAGTCGGTCTTTGTAGAGTCGGTCCATGAAGATTTACAATATTAAAAAATTATATTGTTGTATATAGTCGGTCATTGTACAGACGGTCCATGAAGATTCAATTTTTTGAAAAATTATATTGTTGTAGAGTCGGTCTTTGTAGAGTCAGTCCATGAAGATTTAAAATTTTGAATTATTATATTGTTGTATAGTCGGTCTTTGTAGAGTCGGTCCATAAAGATTTAAAATTTTGAAAAATTATATTGTTGTAGAGTCGGTCTTTGTAGAGTCGGTCCATGAAGATTTACAATATTAAAAAATTATATTGTTGTATATAGTCGGTCATTGTACAGACGGTCCATGAAGATTCAATTTTTTGAAAAATTATATTGTTGTAGAGTCTGTCTTTGTAGAGTCGGTCCATGAAGATTTAAAATTTTGAATTATTATATTGTTGTATAGTCGGTCTTTGTAGAGTCGGTCCATAAAGATTTAAAATTTTGAAAAATTATATTGTTGTAGAGTCGGTCTTTGTAGAGTCGGTCCATGAAGATTTACAATATTAAAAAATTATATTGTTGTATATAGTCGGTCATTGTACAGACGGTCCATGAAGATTCAATTTTTTGAAAAATTATATTGTTGTAGAGTCGGTCTTTGTAGAGTCAGTCCATGAAGATTTAAAATTTTGAATTATTATATTGTTGTATAGTCGGTCTTTGTAGAGTCGGTCCATGAAGATTTAAAATTTTGAATTATTTTATTGTTGTATAGTCGGTCTTTGTAGAGTCGGTCCATGAAGATTTAAAATTTTGAAAAATTATATTGTTGTAGAGTCGGTCTTTGTAGAGTCGGTCCATGAAGATTTAAAATTTTGTAAAATTATATTGTTGTAGAGTCGGTCTTTGTAGAGTCAGTCCATGAAGATTTAAAATTTTGAATTATTATATTGTTGTATAGTCGGTTTTTGTAGAGTCGGTCCATGAAGATTTAAAATTTTGAATTATTTTATTGTTGTATAGTCGGTCTTTGTAGAGTCGGTCCATGAAGATTTAAAATTTTGAAAAATTATATTGTTGTAGAGTCGGTCTTTGTAGAGTCGGTCCATGAAGATTTAAAATTTTGTAAAATTATATTGTTGTAGAGTCGGTCTTTGTAGAGTCGGTCCATGAAGATTTAAAATTTTGTAAAATTATATTGTTGTATAGTCGGTCTTTGTAGAGTCGGTCCATGAAGATTTAAAATTTTGAAAAATTATATTGTTGTAGAGTCGGTCTTTGTAGAGTCGGTCCATAAAGATTTAAAATTTTGAAAAATTATATTGTTGTAGAGTCGGTCTTTGTAGAGTCGGTCCATGAAGATTTAAAATTTTGTAAAATTATATTGTTGTAGAGTCGGTCTTTGTAGAGTCGGTCCATGAAGATTTCAAATTTTGAATTATTATATTGTTGTATAGTCGGTCTTTGTAGAGTCGGTCCATGAAGATTTAAAATTTTGAATTATTATATTGTTGTAGAGTCGGTCCATGAAGATTTAAAATTTTGTAAAATTATATTGTTGTAGAGTCGGTCTTTGTAGAGTCGGTCCATAAAGATTTAAAATTTTGAAAAATTATATTGTTGTAGAGTCGGTCTTTGTAGAGTCGGTCCATGAAGATTTAAAATTTTGTAAAATTATATTGTTGTAGAGTCGGTCTTTGTAGAGTCGGTCCATAAAGATTTAAAATTTTGAATTATTTTATTGTTGTAGAGTCGGTCTTTGTAGAGTCGGTTTATGAAGATTCGAAATATTAAAAAAAAATATTATGGTGTAGAATCGGTCTTTGTAGATTCGGTCCATGAAGATTTAAAATTTGGAATAATTATATTGGTGTAGAGTCGGTCCATGAAGTGTCGGTCAGTTGAATATTTAATTTCTTTAGATTTAAATAACTTGTAATCAGTTACTTTTTGTATAATCGCGGTCTGTAGGTAATAATTATTATTGGCGAATTTTACTTTGTAGAATAGGAAATGTACAGTCAGTCTTTGTTTAATTAGAAAAGGTGGAATTGAAGTCCTGCCTTTCCATTCATACTGATTGCAATAAAAATAATGTATTTATGTCCTAAAAGATGCAATGCACAGTGGACAATTTTCAAAACCTGACCAAAATTAAAATTTTTGTTTTTTTGAAAAATGCATACTTTTCTAATATTATAAAGGTGGATCCAGTGTGTAATGTTACGTTAAAAAATAGTTTTTTATCATTATTTTAGTGTACGAGTAAGTCAAAGTGTATTTTCTGTCAATCGTTTCGTAACCTCGATTTTGCTTCACTATTAAAACAGTGGTAATATGTGTGACGTATCTATAATGTTGTCAGTTCATGACGTATAAACGAACTTACATGTCACTAACTAACATAACATTTTTACAGATATGTCACGACTTTTTAAAAATGCCGTAAAAACCGGAAGAACATTATTAAAGCATCAGGGTGTATCTTTGGAACCTTTAAAAGCATTGCACATTTTATTATGCTTCATCGTAGGTGTAAGTATCTCAAAATTCTTTAATCCTTTTATTAGAAAAGGATTTTTTTTACAGAAAAAACTTGGTGTTATATTTGTTGCGGGTGAAATTTGCCAATGACGACGTAGAACGCGGCGCCACCTACGAGGGTTTTGTTGCGTGTTATTTTCTGTATTCCTGGTCTCCACCCTTTGTAAAAAAAACACATCTAGTGTTATAAGGGCGCATGCGATTAATTTATCACAGAGCTCATTCGAAAGGGCTTGTTTCAGCCTTTAATTTTTTATATTAGTCAGAGATTGTAGCATATCATGGTTCAGCTCTACAATTTTTCAAAAATGGCTAAAAAACGTCGATTTAGAGGTTATCGTACACGGAAAAAAAAAGTCCGTCAACCATTAATGGATTAGTATATTACTTTGAGACGGGACTCTTTTTCCGTTGATGGTTACTTAACTTTACTTAACGATTGAAAACGAGTCATGGATTGATTAGAATGCCAGTATGTGACCAATTGTTTTAGATTTAATGCTGAATTGTTATCAATGGCTGTTTGAATGTTTACGAATCATTAGTGAAAGTTTGTGAAACGTTAGTTGACTCGTATTCTAAATCGGCGCTCTTCACTAGCGCATTGTTGCGCAGTGTACCGATGCGCATTTCTTCCGGTTTCTCTATAGTCCATGTGTTTTTGCTGTCTGCTATACATATCCCTATATACTATTATGTGTAATGTGAATATTTAACTTAACTAACAATTTGCAGTTGAATTGCGTCTAGAAATTGACCTCGATAAAAATATATTTTCTTTTATATTTCTCGCTAATTAAAAAGTAGTTATTAGTGCAAAATCATTTCTCACAAGTTGTGAAAAATTTTGTTATTTGGTATATAAGAACAGTTTGCTTCTAAACTTAAAGTGTTATAAGTGTGCGTTTCTACGTGTAGTTATTATAAGTGCGAAAATGTGTTGGAAAATGTGTTGGTCTAAAGCGTCTAAGAGTGTAAATAAAATATCGGAACTGTGCAACGAAAAAAATGTGTTCATTCTGAACCAAATAGTGTCTAAAATTAGGGATAATTCTGAAAGAAGTTGAATTTTTTGAATGCTTTTGACAGTCATAGAAAATTTAATAGACAGTTTTCTAAATTTTAGTGAACGAGTTTTATATATTGATGACAGTTTTCTAAATTTTAGCAAGCAACTCGTCACTGATTGTGACTCAAAGTATGTTATCCATTGAATGATTTTGTGTCCCGTCTCAAAGTAATATACTAGTCTATTAATGATTGACGGACTTTTTCTTTCCGTGTATATCCAAATTGTTATAACTGAATTAGATTATGTCATAGGGGCTAATAGCACTCTAACTATTAAAACATGGTTTCTAATTTGAAGAATAATTGCGGATATTCTTAATATAAGAGTTCCTAGTTTCAAAAAGTAAACTTTTAGCCACCTTTATAGAAGTTGTAAACAAAATATTAATCTATCCAAACCGCATCTTGCTTCGGAAGTTCAGCATGCGTAAAAGGCAGTACCCTAATCTAAACAGACATGTTTAAATATGGTTGAAAGTTTTACCTGGATCCAAGGTCTCCTCTGGGGCCAACAGCTTGGAAGGGACTAGTTTCAGTTAGCCTGAAGATTCCGCCACCAGCAATGCTCGGGTGATTGTGTTGCGGACTGTGCGGTCCATATCGGAAACCAGACGGTGGAAACTTAAAAGCCGTCGCGTGTCCCAACCGGAAAGATGTTGTTGGATCAAAGCGAAAACTTAGCGTTGGTTGTGGAATTGGACCTATGTGACTCATTTGATGCACTGGCGAGGTCTGATGGTTAATTTGTGGAGAGGAACTCGGTGATGGCGGTGACGTTCCTCCCAGTGAAATATCCGAATCCTCTGTATCCGATCCTCCACCTGGACTTAAAGGTCTACGTGAATTTCCATTTCCTGGGCCGGATTGTTGTTGCATTCTGAAATCAAAAAAGAAACGAAATTCTTATAGTTAAACGTTTAGGTCATATATTATCAATTATCTTTTTTAAATAAATCCAATCTGGACCATCGAATTGGATTTTTTTTATCCATTTCCAAGCGGTAGGTTTATACTTACAAAGAAATTAATATAATTCCACTGAACTCCTGTCAGCATAATTAATAAATATAAATTCAATAAAAAATAATATAAATACTAATTTAAATAATTGGCAAAAAGTTTGTTGCATAATAGTAACGGCGTGTAAGTATGATTAATGTAATATGTAAGATTTATGCTGCCTAACAATAAGTAAAACGAGGATTCACGGAAGAGTAACGATTACTTATGGCAATGACTTCTAAAAGTGGGATTCACGTCATTACGCCTGAGATCTTTTAGATATAGAGAAATAAGAAACCTCATATGTTCGTACCTTCTTATAAAGAAAATTACGGAAGTGACGACGAGTAGTCAAGAAACTAACAGCGTGAATCACTTTAGCTTTATAACCATGATAATTTAGTCTGACAAACTTACACGACTCTTGTTCGCAAGTAAATTAATAAACTCTGCTTAATACATCAGAATTATCTCACAATAAGAGAAAACATTAATTTTCTTTTTGCCATTAGTATAATCTTCTGATACTATCAGTAGAATACCATTAATAAATTAATTCAATATTTTTGGAAGCCATACAATTATATTAAAAAAAACATGTTTGGCCATTAGGCCAAACAGAAGAATCAAAACATCTTTAAATAAATTAACTTGGAAATTGGGGAAATTGGTGTTGTTTGTGTATCACGATCTGTATTCTTTTGGGTAAATCCGCAATCATTTGGTCGAAATAAAGAAGCAAAGAAGAAAAATTATTAGTTCGACAGATGGACAAATTTGCGGTTAGATTACAAAACATTTAATGGTGGATTTATTTTTGCTATTGATTTACAATTTCGAAGTGCTGTGTGATGTAATTTGATTGAGGTCATCGAAAAACCAAAAAACCGTTAATTGTTGAAATAAAAATGCCGAAAAGGAAAAGATTGACGCTACCGTATTACGTTCACAAGCGGGTTTAAATGTGCGGGATGTGAGCAGAACACTGTCACAAGAGATGAGGAACGAGAATGAAATTCGGGTATAGCTCGTGCGGGTCCTCGCATGAAAGGACGAGACAAAGCGAGACAGTGGTATAATTAAAACGTGTCGAGTGTCCTGTGAAAGCAATGGCAAGGTAGGGTTCGATTACCGTATAAAAAGCGTTCTAAATAAGAGCTGCCCAGGAATGCCCATTCCATTCACCTCGAATTATGCATTTCTCCGTTGAAGCTGGCTTTCATCAAGACCTTTTTCGTACGAAAATAGATTGACAGCTGCCAGCTTCCACATTACCATCATCGCGATTATTAGAAAGCAGAGAGAGAGAGAGAGAGAGAGTGAATCGAGGTGTTACCCTGGAAACAACGGACTCGAGACTCAATTAGCAACGAAAATACAAGAATCTCTTTAAGACATTTGAAATGCGGAGAGCCGTTGTCTCTCGAACTCAGCGAATTGATCTGCCGGAGGCTTTTAAGAGGACTGCAATAACGTCTCGAATCCGTATTGTCTCCAATGTGGTAAGCGCTTCAGTCGCTTCGCTAAAACAAGGGAATCGATCTGACAAATGGTTTCTATCTCAATACTGGGATGGGTTCTTTTCATCCTCATCCATTATACAGAGGAAGTCTCTTAAAATTTCGAAATCATGTTGTAGCTTGCAGATTTCACTACAGTCTTCTGATATTATTTTTAGAATGTCTTTTAGTCGTCATTATTGCACTATTTTAATGATTTTGTTAAATATATATATAAATATAACGACGACGTTCGCCATCATCATCATCATCGGGTCACTTTTATAAAATCTAAACAAATTCAAATACATATGGAATAAACTCTATAATAGAAACATTGTAAAAAGGAAGGTATACTAATTTAGTACCAATTTTAGTACTAAATCGTAATTTGGTTCTATTTTAGTACCAAAAATCAGCTCTAATTTAGAACCTTTTCTATACAGTAAAATTTCTAAAAGCGTGGAAATGAAAGAATGGCAAATTCTAGCTAACTATGACTAATGATCTGTATAGCCAAAGTAAACAATCTCTGACCCACACTCTAAATCTGAATCAGTGAAAATTTCACTGATTTAAATTCAGTGTCCCAGTTTTCTTTAATTAATCAGTGAAATTTCAGTTTTTATAATTTAGAATCAGTAAAAACCACTAATTGTCAGTTAAAATGGTCATTGTTATGACCATTTTCCATACTACAAATTAATATACATGTATCACTACTTAAATATATTCATGAAAAGAATTGAATTCTTACGAAAATTTTTACAAAATTTTTTTTAAATAATTGAATTCTATTTGGAAATTTTATGAAAATAGTAGAGAATAAAAATCATTGAATTGCAAACAGTTTTTAAAAATATAATTAAATTTTACAAAGAATTCTATTAAAATTTTTGACAATAATTGAATGTCTATGTTATGTATTATTATTTATTATTATTTATTTATTATTTATTGACATAATTAAAATATTTAAAAATAATTGAATTCCTGTGAAAAATTCTAATATTTTTGTAAATATTGAATTTTTCACAGGAATTTTAAAAGAACATTTTTTAAAGAATTGATTTTTTTGAGGAATTGAAATCAAATTTTTAAGAATAATTACATTTTTTGAGCAATTCCTGTAAAATTGAATTAAAAATATAATTGAAATCCTGGAGATGAATTTTATTAAAATTTTCAAAAATAATTGAATTCTTGAGAAGAATTTTATTTATTTATTTATTTATTTTTCATACATTTGCCGTAGGCCATTTATTATTTATTAAAATGATTGAATTATTGCGAAAAATTGTATTGAAATGTTTTAAAAAATTGAATTTCTGTGAAAAGTTTTGTTAAATTTGAAAATATTTGAATGTCTGTTTGGTATTTTATTAAATTTTTTTTTGGAAGTAATTAAACGTCCTAAAAAGCATTTTATTATTTATGAATATAATTGAATTCTTGCGAATGATATTATTAGAATATTTTAAAATATTATTGAATTCCCAATAAAAATTTTTTACTTTTAAAAATAATTGAAATCTTGTGATGAATATTGTTATTTATGACAATAATTGAATCTTGCAAAGAATTTTATTAAAATGACTCAAAATAATAATTCAATTTTCGGGAATAAGTTTCTTATTTATTGACATACATAATTGAATTCTTTCGAAAAATGATTTATGTAAATAATTGAATTTTTGGGACGAATTGTATTAAAAACTAAAAGAATAATTGAATTATTTAAAAAAAATTGAATTAAAATTGTATTTAAAATAATTGATTTCTTTTGAACAATATTATTAAAATTAATAATAATATTCGAAAATATCTGAATTTCTTTGAAAATTCTAATATTTTTGTAAATAATTGAATTCTTTCAAAAAATTAAAAAAAAAGATTTATTTAAAAAATTAATTTTTTAGAGGAGTTGAAATCAAATTTTCAAGAATATTTACATTTTTTGAGCAATTCCTGTAAAATTGTATTAAAAGTAATTGAAATCATGCAATGCATTTTATTATTTATGAAAATAATTGAATTATTGCGAAAAATTTTATTATATTTGATAATAATTGAATTTATTTTTTATAAGAATTTTATAAACATTGTTTTTAATAATTAATTTTTTCGAAATATAATAAATATTATGAAAATTTTATTTTAAATAATTGAATTCTTGTGAAAATAATTGAATTTTTCGACTAATTAATTGAAAATAGTATTAAAAATAATTGAAATTCTTCGATGAATTTTATTATTTATGAAAATAATTGAATTCTTGATTGGAATTTTATCAAAATTTTTTTCTAAAAATTGAATTTCCATGAAAAATGTTATTATTAGTGAAAGTAATTGAATTACATATTGTGAAGAATCGTATAAGAATTTTTTGTCAAATAATTGAGTTTTTAGAAATTTTTTTGAAAATGATATTCAAAATTAATTGAATTTTAGATGAATTTTATTAATTTTGTTTTAAATAATTGAATTCTTGTGGGAAACGTTATTTGTGAAAATAATTGAATTTTTCGATTAATTGATTTAAAATAATATTAAACATAATTGAAATTCTTTCGAGTTTTATTATTTATGAAAATAATTGAATTCTTGCTTAGAATTTTAAAAAAAAATTTTGTTTAAATTGAGTTTCCATGAATAATGTTATTATTATAGTGAAAATAATTGAATTATTGTGAAAAATTGTATAAAAATTTTGTTAAATAATGGATTTTTTCGAAATTTTTTTAAAAATTATTGTAAAGTAATTGAATTTCTGAGAAAATTTTTTTACTTATGAAAATAATGGAATTGATAAATTTTATCAATTTTGTTTTAAGTTTTAAGTAATTGAATTCTTTTGCGAAATTTTATAAAAATACTATAAATATTGTAAATAGAATTTCGAATATTTTTTAAAAATAATTGAATCGTTTTAAAAAACTCGATTATAATTTTTGAGAATAGTTTTTTGATTTCTAGTATTAGCGAACTTATAGAGTAGTGGAAATTCTCAAAAAAAGGAACAATGTCAATGTTTCAGAGTATGGCTGAAAGCTTGTTTTCTTCAGCTAAAGTCTTTGACCATAAGCTAGAATTTTACATTTTTTCGTACAGTATTCAAATTTTTTAATTTAATGAATTTGAAGTAATGTCAAAGAATTGAAGGCACTGTATAGAATTTATCAAGATTGGTAACCCTCGTTGCATAAAACGAGATCATATAATATTTTAATTACAACCCTGGCTCTATAAGGATATTAGCGTACAGTTTATTAAACCGGCACTATTCAGAGTTTTAATCACACGATAAAGAAATTCGCGTAGTGCTGAACGAATTGGAGCCAAAAATACTTTAGCATCCAAAGCAGCGTGTACAGGT